GAGGATGCTCCCTGTGCCAGCAGTACAGCTCTGAGTTCCACTGGTCAGGCTGTGTGGCTGGTGGGAGCTCCGGGAGCGGCGGGGCCCGGGGGTGCCTGCAGGCCAAGATCAGCTCGCTGCCAATGGCTTCAGCTCCTGGACCCCAGCCCTGCCCCCATCCAGCCTCCATAAGGAGGGCAGGGCACACCAAGTTGTGGCCCCAGTCCCTAGGATCCAGCCTGGGCAAAAGGCTCATGGCTGGACAGAGATGGCCCCAGAGCCCTTTCCCTTCTAAGTGACCTGTCCAGGGACACTAAGGGGTGGAACTTGGAGTTTGGTCCATGCCAACCAAGGCAAGCCCTCCCCTCCCCTCACCCCTAGGAAGTCCCCACCCAGTGCAGTTACTGTTGATCTGAGCTGGACTCGAGGTTGGTGAAGAGGTTGGGGTACCAGTGGGCGATGCTGTTCCAGTTCACATTCTCCAGCGGGAAACCCTGGCCAGGGAGCAAGAAGCATACGACCTGACCCTCCCGCAGAACTGCAGAGCCAAGAACACGCCTGGAGGGCCTCGCTTACCTCCCCAGCAGTGGGGGGCCGATCATTCTCAGAGAGGTCACTGGGGTCCATCGGGGTCTCTGCCGTCACCACCTGCAAAAGGGGCAGCAGGCTGGGGGGAAACGCTCCCCTCTGCCCAAGGTCACTCTCCCCTCTGACCTCCCCAGTGCCTGAGGCACACACTTGCTAAGTATCAGGTGTCAGGGATACGGGGCTCGTAGCTCCTCCCTGCCCCAGGCCTCGGTCCTGGTTCCAGAGGCAGCCTGAGGGGGGCAGGCCTCCCAGGAAGCCCAGGGACCCCCAGCGGAAGCGCCAGTCTCAAGGGGACATGCTAGCTGTCGGAGGGAAGACCGAGGAGGGCGGGCTTGGTGGGGGGCGCCCAGGGGCCAGGCTCACCTCCACACTGCCCGTGGAAGACCGCAGCATGCGGCCCACCCAGGAGGAGCGGGCCAGCTGCAGGAGGCAGGACTTCTGCAAGGCCTGCAACTCGGCCTCCAGCTGCCGAAGCGTGTTTCTGGTCTGCAGCAGCTGCTCCTCCAGGTGTGCCTTCTCCTGCTCGGGGAGGGCGGGGCCTTCTGCAGACCCTGCCGGCCAAGGCCAACCCCTGCCTGCCCCCCCCGCCCCCCGTCCGCACCCCACTCCCTGATCCCACCTGCCCCTCACCAGCTGGGCCTGTCCCTTCTGCTCTTCCAACTCCAGGGTCAGCTTTTGGACCTGGTTTTGCGAGAGCTTCCGGCTGCGCGAGCTCCTGGGGGAAAGGGCAATCTCAGCTGCCCCCACCTCTGGGTCGGCAGCCAGGGAGAGAAGGAGGGGCTCCTCTTCACTGTCATTAGGGGCCTGAGGGCACAGAGTGCAACTGGGCCAGGCCAGGGCAGGCCCTGAAGAGGTCTGGGCTGGAGGTGGCGTCTAGGTGGGGTTCAGCACCCACGGACGTGCTCGGGATCAGGGTCTGGGCGGCTTCACAGTACATCAGCTTCTTCAGGGCTGGGGTGGGGGGTCGGGGCCAGGTAAGGACAGGGGCTGGAGGCGAAGGTCGGGGCCAGGTTCAGGCCTGCGGTCTTGGCAGTGGACTTTGGAGTCAGACGTAAACTCGGAGTTAGGGTCGGCACGGGGACTGGGCAGGCGGGGGACCAGCAGTATATGCTGCTGACCTCTCGGCTGAAAGCCGAGCCACTTCCTGCAGGATAAGGCAGTGTCGGGCCTCCCAGTGGTTCTCGATCGCCCACCGCAGGGCCTGGATCTCCCGTTCTCGCTGCCTCCACAGCAGCCGCAGAGTGTGGGGGTCCAGGGACTCCGGGGCAGACCTGAAAGGCCAGCGCTCCTTCCGCTTGATCAGACCCTGCTCTCTGGCTGGCCTGGCCCAAGCGGCTGACCTCCCCCCTCCCCTCCTTACTGCGGGTTGACAGAGGAGACCATCCTGGTGGAGCTGGGCTTGGTGTCCTGAGGGCATGTGGGAGCCCCACGGTCAGGAGAGGCGCTGGCTGGAGGCCCCACGTGGCCGCTGACCAGTTCTCGGTCCACCAGGGATGCGAAAGCCTTTTCCTCGGCATCTTCAGCCTCCTGACAAGACTCAGGGGCCATTCTTGATGTTGTGGAGGGAGCTGAGAGGAAGGATGGTAGGGCTGCCCTGGGTCCCGTGTGTGGGCAGCCCTGCAGGGCTCTCCTTACACGGCCAGCACACGTGCGTGTGTATGGCAGCCCCAGGATGGCACCGCTGGTTCACAGGGTGTCACTCTCCAAGAAGGGGTGTGTGTGTGTGTGTGTGTGTGTGTGTGTTTGCCCCACAGGACAGCACACTGCCAGTCACGTGGGTGTCCACACCTGCATGTTTCTGACCAGGCCAGGGCAGCAGGTCACCCCCACCCCTGGCACCATGTCACTTGGGTGTTCACACATTCCCTGTCATCTCCCCCCTGTCACCCTTGCCCTCCAGGAGCTGTAATCCTGCCCCCCAGCCTAGTGTAAGTGTTCCCAAAGGTGCTAGTCCTTTGCCGGTGATGTCCCTGTCCCCCTCAGATCCAGGGCCCTCCCACCAACACTCACCTGAGGCCTGAAATCTAAGCAGGCCTGGGGAGAGAAAGGTTCTACAGTGTTGCCATGGATACCAGCACCCAGAAGGGGAGGGGCCATTTGTTACCGGGAGACCCCAGACCGGGGCCCTGAGTGGACCCTGGGCCCCCTCCTTGTATAGCCTGAAGGAGAAGCTGTGAGAGGCTGAGCTAACCTCCGCAGGCCCAGAGGACACAGAGTGACCAGTAGGGTCTGCCATGGTCCCCAGCTCAGCCCAACACCTCCAACTGACCCTGGGGCAGGTTCCCACCGTCCCTCCCCAGCCTGACCATGGTGATCAGTGGGTATTGGTGGCATTGCTGCCCCGTGAGTGTGTCCACAGGCCAGCAGGACGGCCTTCGTGAGGATGTGGCCCTCACTGGGGCCTGAGCTGACTGGGGAGGAGGGAGAGGAGGAGGCAGGTGAGAGCTCGGAGAACCTGGCGGAGGGGCTTGCTGAGCTCTAACCAGCAGTGGAACCCCTCCTGAGTTCCTCCTACGGCCTCTGTGCCCATAGCAGCTGGTGCCCATTTACCTGACCAAGAGAGAAGCCTCCCCTTCCCCTTCCCCCATCCACCTCCACCACTCGAGCCACTGCAGGGAGGCCTGGGGACACTCATATAACGATGACAATGGTCCCCTCACCCGCGCCTCTGGACAAAAGTGAGGCCCCAGACCTGACCTATTAGACTCACGCCCTCCAGTATTTGCCCCACCCCCACCCCACTTCATTCCTTCACCATTCATTCATTCAGACTTTCAGCTTTTGCTCTTGGTAGGGCTTGTGGTGGGAGGGAGGACCCCCCCCCCGCCCCCCGCCCATGGCCCAGTCTGATTGGGCGAGTACAGGCTCTGGATGCCCTTGCCGCTGGGCCACACAGATAGCATTGAGCCTACGAGGGGCCCTGGCTGCCGCGCTGGCTTGGGGTCTCCTGGCAGAAGAGCAGGACTGGCCTGGTGCAGGAGCGTGTCCACAGCTTGGGCAGGCACTGGGCCCCACTGAGGGCAGGAAAGGGCTGGGGGAAGGAACCTCAGACAAAGAGTCCAGGGCCTTTGTCCCAGGCAACCTCTGGGCGGCCCCATCACCCACCAGGATTGTCAGCCTGGCAGCAGCCAGAGAGGAGCAGCGGCCAAGCAGCTCCACTGCCTCCCGCTAAGAGCCCCCGACCCCTGTGCGTTCCGACGCGGACCCATCAGGCCGGGGGAGGGGCGTTTCTGGCCCCGCGGCTCCGCTGGGCGCAGGCCGGGCTCGCGGGGTCCCAGGCCAGCGCCCCCTCCCTAGGCGGGAGGCTCATCAGACTGGGCGGCTTCTGCGGAAGTCAATCGTGGAGCGCGGCCAGGCACCTGCCCCACGCGCCGCCTGCGACCGCGGTCTGGGACGCGCTTCCGTGTTGTTTTCGGGCTTGGGGCGTGCGTGGAGCCGGGCTCTGTCCGCCCCGCTGCTCCCCGGAGCCCCGCCCACACCTGGGCGCCGCCGGGGGCGGGGCGGGCGGGGAGCCAATGGGGAGGGCCAGGGGCGAGGCTCAGAGTAGGTGGCTAATGGGCGTTGGCACGGGGGTGGGCAGTGCGCGCCGCGGAGCCAATGGAAGTGTGTGGGGCGGGGTGCTCCGGCCGTGGGCCAATGGGGTGGCGGGCCGGGGCGCTCCCGCGGCGCTGTAGGCGGCAGGTTGCGGCGGCGCCCGGCGCCTAGCGGCAGCCAGTTGCCGTCCGGATTCCGGAGGCAGGCGAGCGTCCAGGTGAGCCGCGCCGGGCCCCGGAGCTTCCAGAGCGCAGGGCGCGGCCCCGGACGGCGACTCCGACGGAGGGGCGCAAGCCGGGCCGGTGTGGGGGCCGCGCCGCACCTGCACCCGCCCCGGGCGGGGACAGCGGCCTCGCGGCGATCGCGGGGACGGGCGGGAGTGGGGAGGGGCCGCCCGTGCCGGGTGCGGTGGGTCGGGAGGGCCGAGGTCTGCGCGCGGACGCCCCGCGGGAGGGGCTGTACCCTCCGAGCCAGGTGGCTGGGTCTGGTTAATGATTTGCCTTGTTCCGGGAGTGGGGCGGGGCGAGAGCACGCTGGGAAGTGGGGAAGCCTCCCAGCGCTGCGGGAGGGCACACTGGTTCCCCCTTTGGGGGGCACTGGTATTTGCTACCCCACCCCCAGGAATGCGCGGCCTGCAGGTGGGGCTGGGCAGCAGACGCTGAGGGGCAGCAGTCCTGAGCCAGTTCAGGGGGTGAGGGGCAGGCCTCAAGGAGGAAGAG